GGTCTCTCTGTACCTCAATTAATCCTTTTAAAAACAATAATGAAAGCACTTTTGTCTCACTGACTCATCCAGTAAGAAGGAAGTGAATAAAACATGTAAAATGTTCATACACATGACTGTGAAAAAAAACAAACTAGATTAGAGATAGCAAAGAATTTAGTAAAATTTGGTTTTAAATTATGAGGTCTAGCTTTTAAAGTGCAGTTTTATTAGTCATCACAAAGAATACTATGTTTTCTATCATTTTAAAGGATATGGAAACTACTTTTTAACTTTTCTCCATTTATTTCTCTTTCTGTACTACTTGAATTCAGGACAAAATAACAGAACAAAAATCTATAATCCCAGAATTCTTACAGTGAGATCTTGATGTGAAACATGAAAGATAATTTACATTCCTAACAGAGCTGCAGTGCCAGATTCACATGAATGTAAAAGAGGTATAATCATTGGTTCAATAAGTACAATAAGACTAGACCTTTCATTTGACTGAAATCGGGTACCCAGGTAATTGAGAAGGTAAGAATTCATTGCTATGGGCTCAAACAGAAGATAAAAAAGGTTGTCTAGTTAAATACAGGTAAGTCCTCAGAGCTTATGGAAATCAACACGTGCCACAAATAAAAAAGTACTGCGTCCTTACATTTTTGTAGGAACAAAAAATAGTTGTAAAGATAGAGAAAAATAACTCGAATACCTTTAAAACTGAAGGCAGAATATAAAATTATTTCACTAGAGCTACATCAAGCTCAGTAAGCTTGTCTGACAATTGCAAAGACACATGACTTTATAGCATGACAAACATGTTTTTTTCCCAGAAACTCCTCCAGAATTCAATAATTATTCATTCTATACTTCCTCTGTTCAGCAGCAAGTATATATTTAATCAATTTCAGTGATTCTCTTCTTTCCCTTCTCATCTTGAATCCATTAATAAATTCACATGACTAACCTTATGAAAGGAGATCCACATCTTTGGCACAATCTTAGCTTGTTATGCCAAGGATCATGGAATGGTTTGGGTTGGTAGAATCTTAAGGATTCTAGTGGCAGGGACACCTTCCACTAGACCAGGTTGCTCAAACCCCTGTCCAACCTGTCCATGAACACATCTAGGGATGCAGCATCCACAGCTACTATGGGCAACCTGTTCCAGAGCCTCACCACCCTGACAGTAGAGAATTACTTCTAAACCTAAATTCTAATTTTTTTTCTAAATTAAAGAATCAACCTAAGCCCACTCGCTTTCATTTTAGAACCTCTACCCCTTGTCCTAACTGACACCATATGCCCTTGTAAAAAGTCTCTCTGCAGCTTTCCACTATTTTTATTTGGTTTTAATCCAACAGTTTCATTTGATGTCTTTAGTTCTGCACTTGTGAAGACAATGGTCAGTCCCTACCCACGACACATGTTCTTTAGAAGTCTGTCATATCCTCTTTCACTCGTGAAGCTGACCAATCTTAGATTTTGTCTGTCTGTTCTGTCTATAAACCATTCACAAACATTGATAATTTTTTTCTGACCTTCTCTGAACCTTTTTCATTATGCTATGTCCTTATGGAAGGGATAAGAACATCAAATAGTTTAAAATGCAGGGTCATGACAGCACAATTTCTACTTGGTCATCTATCTCTGCCCAAACCATTATAACTTCTGCTTTACTAATAACTCCTGAGATCTGAGCAGATGTTTTCTGTCATATCCTGAGGTCTTGAAAATGAAACAGAACAGTAACATCACAGTCAATTATTTCATATGTGAACTTTTTTGGGGAGGGTTTGCTTTTTCCCCAGTGTACTTCACTTAGGACTTGTCTGCACTGATTTTAATCTGCTACTTTTTTGCTCAACCATGAAGTCCTGCAGGATTCTTTTGCAATTCTTCATAATTACTTCTCACCTTTAATAAAAAAATTGAAAAGAGTTTAGTGGAGGATAGGGAGAATGATTTGGTAAGAGAACACAATGGAAAAATGACAAATCAGATGAACTGATTTCTTTTATCTTCACAAGTGATGGCTTATCAGGGAAATGATACTCAAATTTGGGACAGACTTTTTACCAGGACCTGTAACAATAGAAGGAGTAATGTTTTTAAACTGAAAGAGGGTAGATTCAGCCTAGATAGAAGGAAGAAATTTTTTATGATGAGGGTGGTAAAACACTGGAACAGGTTAGCCAGAGAGTGGCAGATACCCCATCTCTGGAAACAATCAAAACACTGAAAGTCTACTGCTAAAAAAGGAATAAAATCTAGTCTCCAAATGTATGGTATACTGGACAGAAAACAGTAATTGAAGGAAAAAAAAAAAAAAACAAAAATGAAAAAACCCAGTTAAATGAGGAATAAAGTTAAACATCCTAATGAAAAGGTTAAGAAAACCCTAGAACGGGAAGCACTGTGCAGAAATCTCCATTACTGGAGGTTTAAGAACAGATGCAACAAATGTCTGTCATGAATGACATAAAGATAGCTGATCTGGTGTTGGGTACAGAGCTACACATGTTGGGTCCAGACCTTCATCACCTCCATTGCCCTTTTCTCAGTGCCTCTTCCTAAAATTTTTCTTTCTTTCTTTCTTGTTCTTTAATTATTAAAGAAACCTCACCATGACAGACTGCTGAGACTGGCACATGATTAACATCACTGAGAGCCAGAATATGCATATACATGCAAAAACGATCTAAATCAATCATGTGCAGATCCTGGATATCATTGCTGTGAATACCTCTGAGAACAAAACCAGCCTATTCTTACTTGCATCACTCACTAGAAAAACTAATTTTATTACCTTGATCACATAATAGAAGAAATACATTGATTTAAAAAGAATTCTAGCTTTACATATTCATGTAATTTATCATTTCATAGGGGCACAAATTAGACCTTACTTAAAACCACTAGATTCTTATTTTTTTGAGAAAAACACTCAAGAATTACTAGCAATGTCCTACATGACATCTTTTTGTCACCACTGAGCATCATTATACCATTTCTATTTCTATCTACTGTTAATTTGTACTTGTCCAATATTATTCTTAATTGAGATTGTTTGTCTCATGGAGGCATAAGGGATAGCTGTGATACATGACTCTAGAATGCTACTGCATACCAGTACTGCCAGAGCACTGGTGAAAGATGATGGCAGCTCTGGGGAGACACCAACAATCTGGACTCTTCTATAAGAACTAGTATTCTCATTGCCATGAGAAAAAATTATAGGTTTATTTTCAAGTTACACACTAAGTGAAGGATAGCAAGAACCAGTCACATAAAGAAAACAGATTGTCTTTATGCCCTGTTCAAAAAGCTCTTAATCAGTACAGCTCTTATAAGAATTATTCAAAATGTAGTGCTGTCATTATAATCACAAAAGGGTATAAAACCATGATTACTCACTTAAAAAAACAACAGAAATTCCCTCCTGGCCTTTTCTGTTTATTAGCTTTTTAGTTACCATTCTTCCTCAAAGCCCTCTGCCCTCTGGCAGCTCCCTTCCTAGGCCTCTGTCCTCTCCACACTTTGCTGCATCCTGAAGACACAGTGCTGTCAGGATGCTTTACATAGTATTTTGTGGGTACAGATGTTTACATAAGTATATGCATGAGTAAACAAAGTTACTAAAAGATAGTTGGGACGTTTTGTCAATTTTATTATTTTATAAATCAATCAAGGCTGGATTACCTGATGAAAAATGGAAACCACTTAATGAAAACCATCCCACAGACCCAAGTCCATACCTTCTCTCACAGGTTGGTTTCTTTTTGTTAACTCTCACAGACAAAGTGCTTGTGAACCTTACCATAACTCCCAGGGCAATTACTTTGAACATTGTTCCAACAATACAGTTGGGGCTATATGAGTCTTGCTCAACAAGATTCTGACCTTATTCAATTTAAAAGAAAAAAAACATTCCTGAGGTCATCCAGTCCATCAGGTGACTCCAGTTACTCATCACTGGTGCACCAAGTTGGAAAACATAACAGCTTCGATTAGAGACAATTTCCCCTTGTGGAAAGCTGATACCGCCAGGAGTTAATGTTGCTGAGTAACAGATGGAATAGGTGCCCTTTCACTTGCACCTCCCTGTGGCTCATATCTTTATTCCACAAAAGATTTAGGTTGTAAATAGGCCAACAAATTCGTTAGTTTGTTTTATATGAAGCCAGGAGAAAGGCACATATATTGCCCTTAACTAAATGTTCTGCATCAAACCCCATGAAGCCTTTTTATTTCTTTTTTTCCTTCCAAGTTTTATGGCCTGCATTACGCTCCTGACAATTAAATTCTACAGATAATTTAAACATTAAATCCAAACAGGTTTCTAGAAAAGACCAGAGCGTGCTGTTGAAATTATCCCAAAACATTTAGAATTTAATGGAGGGTTATATTTCTACTACAGAACTCCAAGACTGATTTAAAATTACAACAAAAGATTATTACTCTATTAAATCCCATAGTGGTTTCCTGCAAGAGGAAGAATGTGTGAAAAAAGTCTGGTTTGATATACTAGCACACTTTTTTGCAGTGTTTATGGCTGGAATTGAGATATTGGCATCTTGAATAGCTATTGATCACCTGCTGTTTTACTTCAAAGAATGTAGCCTCACTGAAGACCTTTTTCCACATCTGTATTTGAGCAAGTACAGTTGCAGCTGCTCAAAACCATGTGAGTTTCTTTCATTTTATCTTTCATTTTCATTTAATAAACTGCAAAAGACCCACAAATGAATCAGCATTTTTTGAAATGGCCTAGACTCGTATTTTGAAAATGAACAGTTTGACAGAACACATCCTGCAAGCAGATACATGAAAAACTCTACAACCACGTTTTTTGAATGCAAAATACTCAGAACTGCCTTTTGTCTAGAACTTCAGGAGCAGACATATCAACCTATATATGCAAGTTAATCCTTACAGAGCAGTAGCTTTCTTTACAAGTCAAAGATGTAATTCCCGAGCAGATGTACATGACTCAATTCAAGAACCTTGGGGGTATTTTTTCAATACAGAAACCTAATTTATGCACTGAATTAAATGATAGTCCAATATAAAAAGGAATGAGACTAAATACTTGGTGTACCCATGTTCAGCAGCAACACTTACACGTAACTGATCTGAATATATGGCTTCAGACTATCTACACAATTGCTTTAACAGACTAAAGGTGTCATATGTGTATTTTTGCCAACAGCAAGTTAGAAATAAAGTATAGCTGTTTAATAACTTTCGTAACTGTGATTGCTGCAAAGAATATGCAGAAAAATGAATGAAAACAATAAATTAGATGCCATCTAAACTCCAGAAATTATTAATCTTGTCTTATCTGTGATTAATTGTTCAACTTTTTTTTTTTTTCACTTCAAGATTGAGTGCATCCTGCATCTTGTTTATGATTTTGTCATAGGATTGAAAGCTATCACAGGCTGGGATATATGTTCCATACATACACAGGGTAATTAAGCTCCACTCCTCCTCTCTTTGATCAACTGAATAGGTTTAGCACTTTAATCTTCACTTCATAAGCCTTGTCTAGCAACCTCTGGACCATTTGTGCTCTTCCTTTGAATTCCTTCCAAGATACATCCTTTTGAAAGTATTTTCTGATAACAAGATGTTCTAGAAAAAAAGTTGTGCTAATACAGTAGAGTGTATCCCCCATTTTCAGTTGATATTGCTTTTTAATCCATAAATTTATGGATAATATCCATTATTTTTTAGCATACCTCAGCACCAAGAGTTCATGGTGCGGTGGTTATCTATCCACAACAGCCTCTAAATCCTAATATTCTATTTTGACCAAAGAGTGAAAAACATTATTTTGAAATAAGCACATTGTCCTCAGGAATCTTGCCTGGGAAGTTAAAGACAACAGTATTTATTTCTCCCCTTCTCTTCTACACTTCTCCTTAATTCAGTACATGAGTCACTTTTTATTAACAACAGTTAATAATCTTAAATTATTTTTATGGATCACATATATTAAAATAAAGATTGTCTTACTCAACAGACTATTCTGATGTAAGGTGATGCCACAGCAGTGACTACACAAAAACCTTTCAGTAAAATCATAACCCTGTAAAAATTACAATTCATTTACACAAACAGAGAAAGCAAGAATCTAGTTAAAAATGGCCTGTGTCTGTATAAAAAAAATAACACAACACCTTTCAGCCAACAATAAAGGAAGAGATTAAAAAACAAAACTCACACAGACATTACACAACATTATGATGGAGGTTAAAAAATGCTTGGCCAAGCCATTCTATTTAGACGGTAAATGTCTTGTTTGGAAACTTGCAGATCTCACCCACAGAGAGCATCCTACCTGCTTGCGCATGACATCCGTAGCTTGCATGATGTAGCGAGGAGGTAGCCCGTGGCTCCGAGCCAGGATGATGGCCTGCTCCAGGGTAACACTCAGAGTGCAGCTGCAATGCAACACAAAAGTCAGTTATCTGCTAGCAGAGAGTTCCTTAAAAATAACTGCTTCTATATCAATTATCTTTTCTAAAAAGAAAATATAAATAAAAATATTACATAGTAGACCTGCCCCCTATCCTTCCCTCGCCCGTGTAGGCATTAGCCTGAACAGCATAGTGTTTCTAAGCAGAAAATCTTCAAGTGTAACAAGTGTTCCTGCTGACTTAGAATCAAATGCATTTGCCTTGCTGTTAACAAAACAACCAAACAAACCAACGCTCCCCAAACCAAAAACAACACACAAAACCCCAAAAGCCAACTGTGGCTTGGCAAGTGCATGAGAATGTGACAACCCAAGAAAAAAATTTTTTTGGTAATTGTATAAATTCCTTTCTAGGGGCTTTCTGCATGTTATCTCTCACCCTCCACTGTTAAAGCAGACCAAGGCTTTGGTACTAGGATCTCAATCTCTTGCCATTTATTTAGCTTGGTTATTCTCTTGTGAAGTGCAGTCCAAAATTAAGAGGTATCTACCCTTTTCAAAAAAAGAAAATAAATAAAAAGGACTTTCCTTCAAATGAACTGTCCTGTCCCATTTTGTCTATCTTTTTAAAATAAACACTTGAGGACAAAAACTGACTGTGGTTCCACATCCTAATGGAAAGGCTGTCACTGTTTTGTCAGCAACCAGGAAACTTTCAGAGCTAAAGATCTTGCTGTAGGACAATCTGTCATCACACCAGGCAAGACGTAGTAGAGTCATTTTGGCAATGCCATCCCATTTTGGTTGTCATGGTGAGGACAAGAACAAATGGTTGATTTCTCATAGCATCAAGACAAAAACTGTAAAAGACTCATGGATAAAGACAAAAAACCTGAATAGAAACAGGTGTTTTTTAGAAAGCAGAACATGTTTGAGGGCTGCCATCACCAAAGAGGTGGGAGTGGCTCCATTCTGCACCAGTAAGCTGCTTGATGATTTTTTTGTTCACAACCAAAGCACTGCAATAATCCAATCTCTTCTACCAGAAAAGTGGGTTGTACAGAAAATTATTCTACTTTAGCAGAACCCAAGAAAAAGCTGTGGGTTTCAAGTTCAAATAATAAAAGTAAGGCACATGATTAAAATATACTTTTGAGTAGCCTTTTGGCAAAATCCCGACCAAAGTATTTTGCATAGTTTATAATATGCACACAGAACAGACAGTATGTTTCACTCACTCATCTTGCTGAGCAGAAGATCTGTAGGAGGAAAAATGCGTCTGCGCTTATTTTCTTACTGAAAAAAACCCAAACCCCTGACACATTTTAAATGCCGCTTAAGTTAATTTCTGGACTGTAAAAAGTTTCACAGTAGTGAATGTAGAAGACACTTAATTTGATCTGTAGCTTTATTAATGGCCTTTCATTAAAAATTTATAAGCTAAGTGATTTTCCTTGATAATGAAATAATTTTCATTCCTTAGTTTCATGTATACACTGACCTCAGAGTTAACTGGAGGCAAAAATCTATTGACCTTTTGTGTTATGTGTTTGATTAGGGTGCAAGATAGCTAAGAATTAGATTAAAAATTCTAAACACTGTGACTTCACCTTGTCTTTGAAAGGTGAAATATTGCACATAGTACATGCTCGTGATATTTGCCAGCACCAAAATCTAAACATACAACCTTCAAGACCATACAGCAAAGGAAGCTTTGTCCCACTGACAATGGAAAATAGCAAAAGTATCTGAAACGTAGTTTGACAGGTGTTATCTAAGCCAGAAAAAAAGGTAAAAAGTTTCTCAGTAGGTATAATAAGTGCTAATGGCCTCAAAGTACACTTTCAACCAAGTAGTTACTGAGCCAGCTTTCCCATATATCCCATCTTCCTCAAATCCCAAGACTGAAAGAACCAAAAAATCATATTCTGCATGCATCAATCAGAACTAGCAACCTCGTAAATGAAGGTCAGCTTGAAGAATTACGTGCAATTTTGTGATTGAAAAAGACTGCCAAACTGTTGCCAAGCTGCTCCCTCTCCAAAACCTGATGAAATGGCTGGGAATCGTGGACATTATAAGACCTCTACATTTTGACAGTGCCAATCTCGATTCAGAAATACCGTTGCCAAGTGTGTAGATAAACCAGAGTGGGAAAAGCAGAGACAAAGAGTAAAATAGTATAATAAAGATTTCTTTAAGAGGCTGCTATGGAAATAGGCAACAAGTACAATACAATCCTGAAACATTTATGCTAAAATTAGAGATCTCACGTCACGGAAAATAAGAATAGTGATTCTAAGGATAGTAATTTTAACATATCCTATGAAATCAGTAGCAAAGACACTCAAGATGACAGCAGTGGTGACGTTAAATATTATAACACCTTTTTAATAGAATATTTTACATTTGAGGTGAAGTCCTACAGTAATGCTGGCTAGATACATTCACTTTTTCTTTTAAAAAAACTTCTTACTCATTAACATATGTTAAAAATTGTTAAAATTTATCAGTGACATGACTGCATTTCAATATACTGTTTCATTAGAGGAGCAATTTAATACCACTAGATTTTGTGTTCCTTTTAGGGCACATAAGAGGTCTGATGAATGGTAGAATTAAATATATGTTATTGGTTATGGTTTTTGTCCTGTGATTATGAAATAAGGTTACTACTTTCTAAATACAAAGCCCAAATAGTTTTAGTTGAACACCAAATTAGTGAGATGGCATAAAACTGATCATATAGACCTTACATGGTGACTCACAAGTATCCATATGCTGGTGCTTTCTCCCAGCCCTTCAAATAGTGTTTTAATTAGTATATATCCCTTATCACAAATGAAACTGCCCTGGAAACCAGCTGTGAAAAACACAAATGCACACACAAAAATCAGATGGTAGCATGGAAAAGTCATAACTGGAAGTACCTCAGCAATAAGGCTGCCAAGCATGAAGAGATCAAGCAAATGCAAATTTAAAACAATATAACTTCTAAAATTTTAATTAACAATATGAAAGTTGGTTATTCCTAATATTTTAAGACTGTTCTGGTGGCCTGAGCAAGGTTGAATATCAAGGATTGTCAGCAAATACTTGCGGTATATAATAATCCACTCTTCTCCCTCCATTTTGAGAGCTGATAAGCAGATGGTATTAAAGTTTACAAAGCAATCTGGAAGTAGTTCTGACCACCGAAAGTATTTGGTCATTTGGATGCAATCAGCCCAGACAAACCAAACAAGGAAAATATTTGGGGAAAAACTCCTTCAGTGCTTTTCATAGTATTCTGTTATGGGAAGCATAAAGCCCAAATCCATATATTTCAAAGTGCAAACAAATCAAAACCTGTTCTCACTCCCTATCTTTTCCCATCATCCCTTTTTTTTATGCCAGAAAAACAAAAGACTCAAATTCATCATCTCAGAATTTATGTCAGTTAGAATGACAAATTCCCTGCCTTGACAGATGACAGCAGCAAGGAAGAGACATTTGGATTTCCCAGGACAACTGGGCTGAGAATTCCTCATTTCATCCATTTGGTTTCCAAGAAACAGAAGGGGCTGCAGCTGCTCCCAGCCCCTGCCTGCTATCTCCAGTCTCCCATGAGTCATGAAAGTACTGATGTGAAGATTAAATACAAACTTTCAAACATCTTCTGGATCAAACCATCCTAAACAAGCCTGAAAAAAAATGAGATTAAATCATTTTCTATCACCAATAGTCCATTTGTTTCTGACTGGATGTGATTTTCACTAAAAGGCTGCAAATCAGTCGGATAGACATACATCCATACTGAAAACAGAGTTGCAAAATAGGAAAAAAGACTGCAATTTTCTCAGGAATTGATTATTTCACAACAGCTTGTCCAATGTCACTTGAAAGGAAAAATAATTTGGGTTTGTGTTCACTACCTACAGAGCTGCCACTCAGCAAGTGTATATCTATGTTACCAGAGTAAAAAGAATCTAAATCATTCAATTAATTTTCAGGTTTCAATTAGGCTTTCAGCTACCCTACATCCAAAGATGCACCAAAACATTCCTTAGAAAAATGTCCTGAATAGAAAAGATGAGGTGAAACAAATTGGTTTAGTAGTTACCACAGTCAGAGATGTCAAAATGAATTACGTTCTGGCAACGTGAATAGAAAAAAAAAAATGAAAAGGGTGCATGGGTGCTTAGTCTAATTAAAACCTAAACCTTCTACACAATGTGTAATTTAATGCCATTATTATTATTTTAATTACTTTTCTTCTTGTACATCATAAGCTAATCACACATTTGACCACCTTTTAAACCATAAGTATTCATTTTTTTCTGCTGTAATTTAAATTAGGGCTTAGAGAGCAAATATTATTTAAGTCAGTGTACCCGGCAATGTCTCCATGCAAGTAAAACTGAAGCTTGCATTCTCTATGCCCATATACCAAAACTTTGCTGAACAGAATTTCTTTTCACGGGAAGAGGCGAGTTGGGCCAGCCATTAAGTGTTAGAGAGAAAACGAGCATGAAGTTCATACATTAAACTACACTACTGCATTTTACAATTACAGTAAACTCCACTGGAGTTCAGGACTTGGGTCCAGTCCCTTTATGAACCTTTGTGAAGCTGAGACGTTGCCAGTGTGGAAAAGCCACAACATTAAAATCAGTGCTGGATGGAAACACTCGCTGAAGGCTGGTCCAACATACAGAAAGTCATTACTCTGCACAGGAAGTATATTTATTCCATTACAGTGATTCAGTAATCATAAACAATCTTTCAAAAAGCAACTATCTGTGGAACATACACCACTACCCCACTGAATGGGCAGGCCATGGTTAAGGGATCTTCTGCCTTTTATCCGTTAAGCATCGGCATTGCACAGGTTTCGTTCACAAAAGGCTCCACGGTGATTATGTAGTTGTATAAACCTCAGAATAAAGGCATTCCAACTTCCTTCCAAAGGCACACATCCACTATCCTATGACAGGATAATCAAAACCAGCTCTACCAGACATTTTCAGACACAAACTACCAGGA